GAACTGGTGTCCTGAACTGGACATACTGGGAGTACTGGGGGTGTAGGTGCTGAACTGGGGGGCTGGACTTACTTACTGGGAGAACTGGGAGTAGCGTGGGTGATGAACTGGGGTACTGGACTGGGAGAACTGGGAGGGCTGGGGGTGTGGGTGATGAACTGGGGTACTGGACTGGGAGAACTGGGAGGGCTGGGGGTGTGGGTGATGAACTGGGGGGCTGGACTTACTGGGAGAACTGGGAGGGCTGGGGGTGTGGGTGCTGAACTGGGGGGCTGGACTGGGAGAACTGGGAGGGCTGGGGGTGTGGGTGCTGAACTGGGGGTGTGGGTGCCGTACTGTGGGGCTGAACTGGGAGAACTGGGAGTAGCGTGGGTGCTGAACTGGGCTTCTGTGCTGCTGAACTGGAGGTGCAGCGCTGGGCGCAGCGGGGCTGGGAGGAGCGACCCAGGAGGTGACAGCAGGGCTGCTCATCCCCCCCAAATTCCTCCACCCTCAATTCCTCCACCCCCAATTCCTCCTCCCCCAATTCTTCCCCCACCCCAGGGTCAGATCCAGCGCACGGTGCTGGGCCGAGCGGAGCAGACGTGCGCAGGGCTGCGGGAGCAGCTCCGCCTGGCGGCGGCGCAGAGCAAAGGGCTGCAGGCGCAGCTGAGCGAGAGCCACCGTAAGCACGCCGAGGCTCAGTGCAAGGTGAGGGGAAGCCCGGAGGCAACCTGAGGGGTCTCCGTGTCCCCCTCCGTAAGGGACAGACCCGGCCCCTCTGCTGGGGTGACGCTGTCACGTCCGTAGGGACGTCCGTGGGGACGTGGAGACTCCGGGGTGACCTTTGTGAGGGCACCGCTGTCCCCCCCATAGGGACACTCCTGTCCCCCCCATAGGGACACACCTGTCCCCTCCCCACAGACACACAAAGACCCTGCATAGGGACACCCCTGTCCCCTCCATAGGGACACCCCTGTCGCCCCCAATAGGGACACCCCTGTCCCCTCTATAGTGACACCCCTGTTGCCCCCAATAGGGACACCCCTGTCCCCTCTATAGTGACACTCCTGTCCCCTCCATAGGGACACCCCTGTCCCCTCTATACAGACACCTCTGTCCCGTCTATAGTGACACTCCTGTCCCCTCTGTAGGGACACTCCTGTCCCCTCCCCACAGACACCCAAAGGCCCTGCATAGGGACACCCCTGTCCCCTCCTTGGGGAGACACCTGTCCCCTCCTTAGGGACTCCCCTGTCCCCCCCAGTAGGGACACACCTGTCTCCTCTATAGTGACACTCTTGTCCCCTCCATATGGACACCCCTGTCCCCTCTGTAGTGACACTCCTGTCCCCTCCCCACAGACACCCAAAGGCCCTCCATGAGGCCACCCCTGTCCCCTCCATGGGGAGACACCTGTCCCCTCCTTAGGGACTCCCCTGTCCCCCTCTATAGTGACACCCCTGTCCCCTCCATAGGGACATCCCTGTCCCCTCCTTAGGGACACCCCTGTCCCCCCCAGTAGGGACACTCCTGTCCCCACTATAGTGACACTCCTTTCCCCTCTGTAGGGACACCCCTGTCCCCTCCATGGGGAGACACCTGTCCCCTCCATGGGGACACCTCTGTCCACCCCCAATAGGGACATACTTGTCCCCTCTATAGTGACACTCCTGTCCCCACTGTAGGCACACCCCATCCCCTCTATAGTGACACCCCTGTCCTCTCCGTAGTGACACTCCTGTCCCCTCCATAGGGACACTCCTGTCCCCTCTATAGTGACACTGTCACCTCCATGTGGACACCCTTGTCCCCTCCCCACAGATACCTACAGGCCCTCCCTTGGTGTCCCAGTTGTCCCTTCCCATGGTGTCCCTGGGGTCCCAATGTCCCCTCCTTTAGTGTCCCAACTGTCCCCTCCCATGGGGTCCCTGGGGTCCCATGTCCCCTCCCTTAGTGTCCCAATTGTCACCTCCAATGGGATCCCATCATCCTTACCCACAGGAGCTCAGTGTCTCCTCCCATGGTGTCCTTGGGGTCCCCACATCCCCTCCTTTAGTGTCCCAGTTGTCCCCTCCCATGGGGTCCCTGTGGTCCCCACATCCCCTCTTTTAGTGTCCCAATTGTCCCCTCCCATGGGGTCC